TGCACATGTTGTGCACACTCACGATATGAAATAGATAATGTCTACCCAAGCTTACCTTTAGCATCTCCAAAAGCACATCTCACAGATGATGCTTCCCTCTGCTCCAGGGGTGTATGCAGAGCTACAACTTTGATTTCTGTTTCTCTTTCTCTGTCATGGACCTTAAACCTGCCATTGCATCTCATGTTAACCTATGTCAATACATTGGCACAAATCTGTGACTCTTCACACATTCTCTTGTAAAATAATGAGGTTAAAAGTATAAACATAGAGCAATTGAAATGTTTACCGTTTTCTCTGCTTTTTGCATTTTACTTTCTTCAACTTTTTTCTTTCCCTTACCTAGCTCTTGGAAGTGTTTTGTATTCTTCTTCATTCTCACTGAGCATCATTTAATAGACTAGCATCAGGCCTATTAGATAGAAAGTCCTCAGTGATGCCAGAAGGGTTTCTCCACAGTAATGTCATCAGAGTTATTACCACTGATAGTAATGACTTTGAAAAAGATTTCCGAAAAGAATCAGCCACAGGCACCTCTAGATCCTATCACCAAAAAAAGAAAAACAAAGGACCCTAAAATGTCAAAGAAGTAATGGTAATGTATAAAGAGAGTTAGATCTGTTAATTTTGCTTCCATAATAGTCATTTCTTATTAAAAATAATAATGTTATGTTTTAATAATTTCTGATGATGTCCCAGAGAGTCAGACAAGGAGTCAGAGCATTTTATAGTCATTTTACTAGTGAAAAAGCCAAGACTCTTAAATGTTACAAGATTTAGTAAAAGTCATTCAAAAAACTAAATGACTAGCCAAGGTATTTTCTTCTGCAATATGTCTGTGTCTTCTTGTCCATTTTCTACTGGATTCCCTGTCTTTGTAAAGCCATTTTGAACTTATGTTGTTAATTTTAATGTTTTCCAAATTATCTTAATGGTTAGCCTTAATGGTTAGTGAGAAATTTTTGCCTAATTGTGTGAGGTCTTTCTCTGTGTTACTTTTCACATTTGGTTCTATAATCTACCTGGAATTTATTTTTCAGTATGAAGGAAACTATTCCTTCAGTATAGGTCTGCTGATAAAAAATTATTTTATTCTCAGGCCGGGCGCAGTGGCTCACGCCTGTAATCGTAAATCTCTGGGAGGCCGAGGCGGGTGGATCGTTTGAGCTCAGAAGTTCAAGACCAGCCTGAGCAAGAGCGAGACCCCGTCTCTACTAAAAATAAAAAAAATTTAAAAAAAGTTAATTGGCCAACTGAAAATGGAAAAAAACAATTTTTTTAATAAAATTATTTTATTCTCTGAAATGTTTTATATTAAAGTCAAATTTGAAAAATGGTTTTTTGGGGTATGAAATTTTAGGTTAGAGAAATTTTCTTTCAGCACTTTGAAGATGTCATTGCATTATCTCTGGCTTCCATTATTTTTGTTGTGAATTTATAAGTCTTATTGTTGCTATTCTGAAGTTAATGGGTTTTTATTTACCATATAATTTGATACTTTTAACATTGGTTTTCAGCAATTTCACAATGATTGGACTGAGGTTTCTTTTGCATTAATTTTGCTTGAGAATCATAACACTACTGATACAGTGGTTTGAAATGATATTTCATTGATTTTGGTAAATTCACAGCCATTCTCTCTCTTAAAAATATTGTTTTTGGCCCATTATACTTAGGATAGATCCCACCTCATATACTTTCTACACTCTTATCTGTGTTTTTAATCTGTACTTTAGTCTTTATATTTTTTCTGACCTACCTTCAGTTTACTAATCTCCTCTTCAACTATGTCTACCTGCTGTCAAATCCACCAGTTCAATTCTTAACTTCAGTTATTGTGTTCATCTGACTTTTAAAACAGTGTCCAGTTCTCTGACACGTTTCTTTGCTATGAAAATTTTCAGCTTGATGTCCAGTTTAAAAAACACATTAATCATTAAAGTTGTACCCATGATATCTAGATTGCTAACATGTGTCTGTATGTTGTCTTCTTTATTCTGTTGGTTTTCAGTGATTTGTTCTTATTCTTCTGGAATGCCAGGTAATTTTTGATTGAATGCTGAACACTCTGAAAAATTATAGAGATGATTTGTGACTCTGGGTGGTTTTAATATTCCTCTGGAAAGGGTTTATTTTGCTTCTGATAGGCAGGTAGGATAGAGCAGAGCACTGTAATCCAATCAGGAACTTTGTTGATTAAAACTTAGACTTTAGGTTTTTGTCTATTTCAAGTTCATCCTTGCGCCCAAGGTCAGGGGACACAAACCAAAAAACCTTACATACTTCTTAGGGTACCTCTCTTTTGATGACCCTGACCTTTAAAGTTTTGCTTTCTGCTCCCAGCCTCACAAAACATCTGGGTTTTTGTTGTTGTTTTTAAATGTTCTGTAGAGACTGGGTCTCACTATGTTGCCCAGGCTGGTCTTGAACTCCTGGCCTCAAGCGATGCTCCCACCTCACCCTCCCAAAGTGCCAGGATTATGGGTGTGAGCCACCACACCCTGCTTTATCTGGAGTTCTGTTTAACTTCCTGGCACATGTCAGGGTCACCATTTTGCACCTCCTCAAGTTTGTCCTGCATTCATTGCTGTCTGGTGCCTCAAAATATATATTTTTTAAATAATCTGGTCAGTGTTTTTAGCTGTTCTTGGTAGGAGAGTTACTTTGTATCATGATAGTTTCACCTTAGGTGAAATCCCTGTCTTATTGTAATTTTAATTTGCATTTGTTTCATTATTAGCAAAGAAAATTATCTTTTCATGTGTTTGCAGGCCATTTTATTTCTTCATTTATCAACTGTCTTTTAAATCTCTTGCCCATTTTGCTATTCAGTTATTGATCTTCTTCATCTCTAGAAGCCCTTATAAAGATATTAACCCTTTCTGTATGATAAAAGGTACAAATATTTTGATTCAATTGGTAACTTTTCTTTGTTTAAAATTTCTTTATATTTTTTCCATTCAAAATGTTATGCTTATAAAGTTAAATATTTCGATTTTTCCTTATTACCACTGTCTTTTTTATTTTTTATTTTTTTTTTGAGGCAGAGTCTCATTCTGTTGCCTGGGCTAGAGTGCTGTGGTGTCAGCCTAGCTCACAGCAACCTCAAACTCCTGGGCTCAAGTGATCCTTCTGCCTCAGCCTCCCGAGTAGCTGAGTCTATAGGCATGTGCCACCATGCCCAGCTAATTTTTTCTATGTATTTTTAGTTGGTCAATTAATTTCTTTCTATTTTTAGTAGAGATGGGGTCTCGCTCTTGCTCAGGCTGGGTTCGAACTCCTGACCTTGAGCTATCCTCCGACCTCAGCCTCCCAGAGTGCTAGGATTATAGGCGTGAGCCACTGTGCCCGGCCACCACTGTCTTTTAAGGCATAATTAGCAAAGTTTTCCTTCTCCTAGGCTTACACAAATTCATCAATGATTTCTTCTGTAATTGGGTGTTTGAGGAGTATGTTGATGAGCAATTGAAAAATAGTACATTTCTAGAACTTGGCACAGTGAGAGTGGGTATGATATGGTATCAAAATTTCAGTTGGCAGTTTTGAGTTTTATTTTTCCCTTTCCCAATCTCATCCTCAGGAGTAAATGAAACAAACTAAGGATACTATTGCTTTCATGTTGTACTTGAAAGGTTTGGGAGACCCATGAGTCATTTCTGATTTCTTGTGTTATCCTTTGCTGGGTTCTCTTATCTACTCTCATATCATCAATGTTACCCTGTACTGACGTCTCCCAAATACCCACATGTTTATGCCTACGTGAGAATTTCACATTTAATTCTCTCCTTAGCACTGGATGTAGAAGCTGGTTTGGCATCTAACTTAAATGACTGACCCTGCACTTCGGACTTTAAATCTAAATTGACTTTCTTCTTCTTTCCCCAACTCTGCTTGTTTTATATGTCTTCAATTATTGACCTCTCTACCTTCCATCCACCCAGGCTCAGAGCTCAGTCATCTTTGAATCATATGTCTTGATCGTCAGCTTCAGTAAATCATTACCAGGAGTATAAATTCCACCTCTGAAGATCTCTTCCTTTGAAGAGATTATAAACTGGATCTTTCCCATCTTGCTTCATTCTTACCAAGAGGCACACTAAGTCTCACATACTATAGGCACAGTAAGGACTCACAAGAAAAATAAATTTAATCTTCTGTTTAAAATGTATGGAAATAATAAAAGCTTTAAAAGTATGGGTTTTCTAGCACTTTATCTGTATCTGTATTTACAAATGTCCTTGCTGTTCAACTTGTGAAAACATAATAGATGTTTAACCAAAAAGAGATTATTGTCCTTTTGAATATCTGGAAAATTTCTTACAATATGAAACACAGTTCTCTTACTACTACATTAAGCTTCAACCACAGCAAACGTATGTGACGCTATGCAAATACAATAGTCATTAAGGAAATTAGTTGAAGACTGGATTCCCTATAATCCAAAGTAGCAGCATCTGAGAAGGTCTCTTAAGAAAGCAAGTAAGCCATTCACTTGTGCTTAAATCAAAACCTTCCCCCCCAGGAGAACTAATCTTTCATCTTTTAGGCATGCTTAAGGCAAAAACAGGTTTTCTTTTTTTTTCCTCTTCAAAGGATAAGTACATAAACTCTTTCTTTCGTGCTCTCTCTCTCTCACTCATTCACTCACACACACACACACACACACATACACACAAACAAACACATATATACTTCCCTAAATTTAAATTGTAGGTTGTTCTGATGAAACCAAGTTTTCCTGCTCTCATGATACCAGATTTCTAATTTAGAAATTATATATGCATATATGTGATTATCTCACAAATTAAAGAGAACTTAAAAGACTAAAGTATTCAAGCAACTCAACCCACTATTTCCTCCTTTAAACTTTTCTGCAAAAAGAAGTTGAGTCCCAGGAGTATTTTCCAACTTAAGAGGGCAGTGGAAAGTGACAGAACAATTGGCCCTCGGGCTGTTATAATTCTCTATTGACCAGGGCCTGTGGTCTTTCCCTCTTTCAGCTCAAGGCGAGGACACACCTAGAGTGCCTGGAAAAAGCGAAGCCTCCAGTGACATAGAAGATACTGCAGATCCCGATGGTAAGGTTGTGCGTTAGTTGAGCTCATGCAAACTACAAATCTGGCACATTTTCTATGTGTAATCTAGGATTAAGGGAGCTATCTGTTCTATGAATCAACATATTTGGTTAAAACAAGGTAAATTTCAAAAACCATTTTCTACTAAAAACTAATAAAATAGTCTTTTTTTTTTTAACTGTCTCTAGCTATTTTTAAATAACATATACTTTGATTTAATCATGCCTTGCCATACTGAGGCCACAGTACATAACTGCAAGGCTAAACAAAACTGAAATCTACCTGGTGAACTTTATGGAAACTTCACTTACTTCTGCAAAAGGCACTTACTTCTACTGGTATTTCTGCTGCACTGGGCATTCAGGGGAACCCTAGGGTCAAGTTTGGGCTATAGTTGTCCTACCTCCTTCATCGTTGCACTTCACTAAATCAAAATGAATTGACAAAAGCCTTCTTAAATTCACATCTAATTTTGAAAGCATCTAAAGATTCTGAGCCTTGAGAATATCCATATCCTCTTTCCCCTGCACAATGCTGAGAGCCCTTTGAAATATCATTACTTGAATTAGAAAAACAACAAATTGAGCGCACATGATTTAATAAGTACTTGATTCACTGGCCCATAGAGCTTAACAGAACCAGAATTGGTCAGCTGATCAACTGTTTAAATATCTTGCTGTTTGGGTAATTTTAGCCAAAAGAAGAAAGCTAATTACTTTGAGTTTTTAATGACCTTTGGGAAAAATTCAGCCATTGGTGGACATTGTTTGAAAGTTTTAAATAGAGTTTCCTATACCAGGTGTTCCTCCCTTCCCTAGGCTCAAATCCATAGGCTCAAACCATCACCCAAATTGCCTCCTTTCTTAAGCCTTTCTGCTTCCACTGCACAAACTGACTTTTTACCCAGGGGCATGCACTGCCTAAGAGAATAGTGTTTTAAACTCCAGACACAACCATTAAAAGCCACCACATGTTAGTCATGATCAATTGAACTAAACCTGCCCCAGCCTCATTGTGACACTATAAACATAATTCTTAATAGTTCTTTACAAAGCATATTCTGAGCAATACCAGGCCCCCAAATGTTCCTTGAACAAAAGGGAAATAAATGTGGGAAATACTGAATTTTAGTCTTCACTTGAAGATTCAATGTACACAGAAGAGGATTATAGGCTCTCAGAAGTCTCAGGGGTAAAGAAATTGGTTTAACATAAAGTTGCTTTTCCAAACTTATTTGATCATGGAATGCTTTGGATAATAGCATTTATTAATAGGCTTTGAAACCAGTATCCCTTGGTTGTAAGAAGAAACAGAAAAGCAATGCCCTCCTGTATTTTATCCCACACTGAGATGGGTGAACTTACAGTAACTTTGTGGACCAGGATGGAAAGTGTGCAAATGCTTGTCTTTACATAGATAGAGTGGTTGCATCTGGCTAGTTTATATATGGGGTTTAAAACAAGTTCACACGTCATTAGAAAGCCATGACAGTTTGCAGGTGAGAACAAGAAGACCTGGTTTTAAAACTTTCCTCACTGCGAGAGAGTTGGGTAGGCATTGTACAATGTCATTCCCTCTTCCAAGCCTCTCTGGAGTGTGAAAGCCAGCATCTGCCACTCTTTACACTAATTGAGCTTTCATGCTTGGGAAAAAAAAAGTGATTTAGGTTGGTTTTCTACAAATAATTGAAAACCACCTCAATGAGGACAGAGATTACATATTCAGAGGTTACGATGGCAAGGGTGGCCACTGTCACTTGTTTGGCAGACCCAAAAGCAGGCAGGCAAGTGGGAAACTTTTATAGTTAGTAAAAGAGAAGACTTTGAGCATCTGATTGGAGGCTGTTGGCGTGGGGAAGCTGGAGGTGGCTAATTAGAAAGGAGACACCTTAAGTGATTGGTTTGGGGAGCATATTTGGCTTTCCCTGGTTGGTCCCATGTTGGAAGGAGGGGCAAAAAAAAATAGGGAACATGATAGCCATTGCCCAAGTTCTGATCATTTTGAGCTGATTGCTGCAGAGGTTGTGGTTTGGTTGCTCAAGATAGTTGCTCCAGAGGTTTTAAGTGAGAATTAGGTTATTAAGTATGAAATGTCCGATTTCATTAAGTACTAAGTTTGACAGTTGATATCTCTGACATTTCACACTTGACACTTGTTTTACTTTTGCTGTGAAGGTACATCCTCATTCTTTCAAACACATGATTTGGCTTGTGATTATCTTTCAAAAAATTTTTAGAGCAATTTTTGTGAAGCCATGGATAAGTCAAAACTTTGTGTTATTTTTGAATATGAGTTCCATCTTGGAACCAATGCAGGGCAGACAGCTCAAAATATCAACAAAGTGTTGGGTAAGGATGTGGCTAATGAATGCATGGTACATCAGTGGTTTGAGAAGTTCCCTTCTGGCAATTTTAATCTTGAAAATGAGCCACGTGGGCGACCAGAGACCAAGGTGGATAATGAGCCAGAAGCTGTAGTGGAAACAAATCCTTCTCAACCTGCGTGTGAATCAGCAGCAAGTTTTGATGTTACTATTCCAACCATATTGGACCATTGCAAACAAATCAGCATGGTAAAGAAGCTGGATAGATGGGTTCTACATGAATTAAATGAATATCAGAAAAGAAATCATCTCTAGGCTTGCCTTTCTTTGTTGTCTCGACATAAAAGTGAACCACTTCTACACCATATTGTGACGCATAATGAAAAATGGATTCTTTTTGAAAATCCTAAGCGTTCAGTGCAATGGTTGGATACAGATGAAGTACAAGACACAGTGCAAAACCGAATATTCATAGAAAAAAAAGCTAATGGTGACTATGCGGTGGTCCAGCACCAGTATTATCCATTACAGCTTCATGAAACCTGGTCAACTGATTACAGTGGATTTCTACTGCAACCACATGGGCAAAATGATGAGGATGCTTGCAATGCAGCCATCAAAATTGATCAATAGAGACAGACCAATCCCCTTGGCAAGACAACACTCAGCCACATGTTGCAAAAACAACGCTGCTCAAATTATAGAAGCTGGGCTTGGAAACTCTGTCATCCACCATATTCGCTGGACCTTGCACCAACTGACTACCATTTCCTTCCAGGCTTTAGATAACTTCTTGCAAGAAGAATATTCCATTCTCAACAAGCTGTGGAAAATACCTTTAGTGATTTCATAGCTACTCACTCTCCAGCCTACTTTGCTGCTGGCACATACAAGCTACCATTAAGATGGGCACACTGTGTCTATAGTTTAGGCACATACTTTGGTTAATTGTACTGCTTGTTTGAGATATAATAAACTACACTTTTGATTAGAAATGGGACATTTCATATTTACTGACCTAATATATATGATCTAGCCATTGTCTATTTATATATTCAGTCTCTCAGCTTATAATGTGGGCTTTGATGTTTTAAAAATAACAATCTAATTAAACCTGCTGACCCTTGAAAATTCTCAGAGTGAATGCTATGCCTGCTCAGGGCCACTTCTGGAGAATGGCAGTGATTATGCATTCTATTTTTATGCAAATGTTCACATAGAACACACACAATCAACAAAAAGTACACGTTTTATCATGGCTATGTGATCTAGTTAGTTGTTTTGTTTTTCTGCTTCACAGTAGTCTGCTATACCCATTGGCAAGTTTACAAGGTCTATTTTGAATCTTGAAATTGAAAACATGGCAAACAAAAACCAAACAGGCCTCTTGGCATTTTAGAGGGAGCTGCTTACCTCTCTGCCTGTCAGTGATCTGTTTCACTTTCATTTTTCTCTTTATTTTCTTAGACACATAATTAAGGCCTTTGAATTTATCTAAGGATGGTAATATATACACCCAAACTGCCAACCCAACAACCTGGTATGAAATGACATTTCAGCTTCTACAGTTCCTTGAAGTGGCCATCCTGCCCTCCCCCACCCTCATCATTAAAAATCTATGAGAATATTCCAAAGATCTTGAATGAAAACAAAACTGAAAAGAGGCATGAGATAGGAAATCAGGATAGTACCACATCAGAGGCTATTTAAGGGTGTTTAAGGAGTTTGCCTTTAATAAATATTTAACTTGTTTGTTTTCTTCTGTGGTTACAGTTGAAATGAACAGTCAGGTTGACAGTGTAAACGACCCAATGGAGAGTCAGCAAGAAGATCAACTAATAGGTAAGATGCCCCTGTGGTGGGATTTTCAACTGATCAACCGGCAGTAGGAACTGTCTGCAAATGACATATTGGATTTCCCTTGGTTTTGCCAAGTCCCACAGCATGGCTTGGGCTACACTTTTGAAATCTTTAAACCAAATACACAGTATCAAGAGGAAGGATTACCCCTAGAAACCTGCCATCTTGAAGGGGCAAAGATAAGCCACAGCATATTCAAATCATGCAGTACCCTGGGGCTTTCTGTGCTTTGAGGACAGGAAGAAATTTCTCCATCCATCTCACTACTCCTTGGCCTCCTGGAGTGATCAAATTATTTCAGCAACCCCAAGCTGATTCTGAAGCATTGCTTTTCCAGAAGCTACCTGCTGATTTGCTTGATATATCTGTCTTTAAGCATAACACTAAATCTTTGCCCTGGAGTGTACATAAAGGGATATGAGTGTGTTTGGACAGAAACAAAGCCTTCCTGAGGTCCTCTTCTCCCACATCACCACCTCTGGACCTGTGCATCTGCACAGTGGCTTGCTAAGTTAAGGGATCCTCAGAGAACTCCCAGGAAAATAAAGCATCTGGACCAGATCACGTTGAGGAGTTTTTCCAGACCAACATGCTAAACCCCCCAGTGGAGGCCAAAGTCTATCTAGAATGACAAGTGGTCTGTAACCCTTTGCCACATCTTGCAGCTGGTGAAAGAATTAGAAGAAGTCAGTCTTGCTCTTATAGCTGCTTCAACTTCTAGCTTACAATATTTAGTTATATCAAAAAAATAATAATAATAACAACATGGAATAAATCATGGGTTACTGAGTGTAAGGCATAAATGATATGTTGTCTCACGCACCTCCCTGCACCCCTTGAATGTTCTTGATAGTTCTCTATGTTCTCCTAAGAAGCCACATTGCACTAAACTTCTGACTTTCAGCATCATGGAAGAATAAAGTTTCAGAATGTGTGAAAGAACACATCTGTTCTTCCCATAATTGTCTTGAACATCATTTAAAACCAAATATAATATCATTTGTGTAATGCATGTATAGCATAGGACTGCTAAAAAATATAAACTCATACAAACACGGTCTTATAAACATTTCTTCTTTTTTTATAACCTTCCTCATGTATTTAAAATATCCTGCTAAGCTGCAGAAATGACACGGCTGAGCAGTTTCCATTAAAAAGTAATGAAGTGAGACTAAACCCGAACAATCTAAATGCAAGTTCCTCAGTGTTCCCTTACCTTTTACCCTTTCGTTGCCAACACACTCTAGACTTGCTGTCTACATTTTTTTCTTACAGACGCTATTATTTTTCCTGTGTGATCACTATCCAAATAAAATAACCAGGATAAATCTGTTTTCCTTGGTTCATATCAAAATATTTTCCTTGAAAATAAACATGAACCCCTATGTTAACCCAAATGAGTAAGTTAAAGTCAAAACTTTAAAGTTCAAAATTTAAAGAAACTGAATTCCAGGAAAGAGAAATGACTTTCACAGGGTTAACTGGCTAATAAATGGGAGATTAAATGCTCCCAATTTACAATTCTTTGATGACACCACACTGCTCCCTAAATATTAATAGTGAGTTTGTAAACACAGTTGTCACAGAAGCCACGTGACCCGTGCAACTTCATTGATTCCCACAGAATTATTTACACAGTTTGGTTTGTAGAGATTATCTGGTAGTTCAACAGGAAGAAGCAAACTTTGTTGTGTGAATCATACCTTCAAGGAAATTAAATACTGTGACATGGAATTACAGAGTTCAAAGCCATAATCCAAGAGTGTTTAGTGTTATATAATTTGTAATTGTAAAAGATCAGAGCTACCCTAAATGGCAAGAATGGGAGGGTGACTAAATGAATCAATGGAACACTTTCTAAATGTATTTTTTGACAAGTCTTTGAGGGCAGTAAAGATGATTATAGACTCTGAATTTTTGGTTCTGGAGAAACATGGAAGACTAAGTGTGACTTACAGGTTAAGCTTTAAGAGGCTTTGTAACTTCCATTTTTGCACTCTCTTGGCACTTGTTCCTGGATTCCAGGCACCTTGGAAGAAGGTCAGACTATCCTATAGAATGAAGGAAGTCACATAGAGAGAGGTCCTAGAAACTAAGAGAGCATTTCAATGTTTTGCCCCAGTGGATACCACCTCAAGCAGATAAACTTCCCACCTTGTCCAATCCTGCCAATAAAATCATGAGAAATAATAAATCATTGATGTTTTAAGCCACTAAATTTTGAGCTTCAGATTATTGATATACAGGCAGGCCCTATAGCTAGGGTCTTAGGTTTTAATGACCATCTGGAACCTTGAACCACTCAAAGTAAGGAGTTGGAACTGATACCTCTACACAAATAAAAATGGGACTTCTTGATCAAGAAATTAGTACGACTTGGATCTGCACAGAGTACTGTGTGGAGAAAGAAAAAGGTTCCTAAGACATTGAGAAACCACAAATGGACCATGAGTTTGAAACACAAATTTATGTGATTCAAAGTCATGCAGTAATAAATCATCTGAAAAATTAACTTAATAATTGATTAGAGAGCAGTGTTATCTCTGATGTATGTGGCAAGTGGAAATGTGAAACTACCACGTGGAATTTCTACTGAAGGAAAGAAAATTCTGAAGTTGAGTTCACAATTTTAACACTTACAAAACACACAAGGAAATGACCCATCATGAGAGAGAGTCTGTGGGTCAGTTAGCACTGTCCAAACAGGACAATTAGCACTATAAGGACTTCAGAGAGTAGAAAATTTTGAAAATTTAAGAAAACTGCATTTAAATGACAAAAGACATAAAAGCAGATATAAAACAATAAGAGCAACACTATGAAAAATTAACAATGGAAAAAAGCAAATATATATTAACATAAAAGGCACATAAAAAGAGAGACGAAGGATAGACAAAGATACCCAAGACATGTTATGTATAATAGGAGCTCTACAAGGAGTCAACGTTTGAAAGGTAATGGCTGAGCATTTATCAAAATTTATAAAAGTCACAATTTGAAGTTAAAAAAAATAAGTCACAAGAAAGACTTATATTTAAAATTAAGTGACACATCGGCATTGCAGAAAACCAAAGACAAACAGAAGAAAGTATAAAATACACTCAGAGAAAGAACTATTTTCCTATAAAGAAATATAGGACAGCAGGCTTCTTGACACCAAGAATTTAGGTCAGAAGACAATGGAATAATGAGTCTTCAAAACCTAGATAAAAAATTATCAATAGAGTTTTATACAAGCTTAACTATCATTTAAGAAAATATCTACCATTTTCAGAAAAAAAGTCTGCAACTCACATACCTTTCTGTAAAAGCTACTAAAGGATGCATGTTTAAGAAGAAAGTTGAACCCAAAGGAAAGAGTAAGGTACATGAAACAATTCTAAGCCAAGAAAATGGTAAACTCACAGGTGAACCCAAATAGACTATAAAAATTACAATGATAATTAATTATGGGTGATTAAAAACAGGGTGAAATGAAATTTATATTTACATTTTATAATATAAAAATATTTTTATTCTGTGTATGTATTTGTCAATATATATCCGTGTAAAAGTACAAACACATGTAAATTATTAGTTTACACTGATGTCAGATTTTAGTTAACTCTGGGAAGGAACACACATAGTTTTGTCTGTAATGTATATGTAAGTAGTTTACCTTTAATATTTTTTTAAGTAAAATAAAGATTACAAAGATATTTGAAAAATACCAACACATATATGGAAGTCAATATATGACAGGCATGTTATTGTTTTCTGTAGTTTTCTTCATGATTGCAATTTTCATTATTAAAATTAAAATTTATGGTTATATATGTTTGAAAGATATAAACAAATACTGTGAGGAAATACTTCGTAATATTAACTACAGAAGTTACTGTTGATAGAGGCATTATGAAGGATTTTTCTGCTCCTGTCTACTTCTGAATACATTAAATATTATCTATAACAAACATGATATTGCTTTATATATGCATACATACCTCAAAGACTATTTTGTTTTAAAGATTCATAGCCTACCAGAAAAGAAAATTAGCTCAGAGATCATCTGCTGTCATTTTGCCTTAGAGAGGTGACTAATCTAAGGCCTGGAGAATTTTATCAATTTGCCTGTATTCACATGCTGATTCATTGTTATAACAAGGGTTTTCTGAGCCCAGTGCTGTCTTCCACTTTGACCATATCCAATATATGCTATATATTTTTAATGAAGATTTTGAAATAGTGTTTCTTTCTGCTCTATCCCTACATTGTCCCAGCCTAGTACACTTAGTGATAAAAAGGGCATCACTTTCTTCTCATAGCAAAGAGTCAGTAAATTAGACTATCTTTGTCCTCATCCAAATTATAGTATATAACCTCTACATAGGAACCAAAGAGGGTAGCTGCTACCTAATTAGAATCAAACAGTTGTTAAAATGTATTTAGAACCTACATTTTATCTACTATTCCTAAGAAGGCAGTGTAGGGCGTTGTACATGGTTGGTACCAAGTCTTTCCAGGTTTAAGTTGATTTAGATGGAGATTACTGAAAACCAGGGATTGCAGATATAAAATACAGACCACACTAGAATACCACTGCACCCTGACTAGTACTGAGTTACAAGTTAACACTACCAGCAGTTACAGAGAATGTGGAGCAACTAGAACATGGCTATTGAGAGTATAAAATGATACAACCACTTTTAAAAAATCACTGTTGGTTTCTTATAAAGTTAAGCGTGTATCTACTCTGTGACCCAACAATTCCATTCCCAAGTATTTGTCTGGAAAATGAGAGCAATGAAAACCTAGATCTAAAAAAGCCTTCTATGAGAATATTCATAGCAGTTTTATTCACAAAAGCCCAAAACTTGATAGAACCCAAATGTCTACCAACAGAGGAATGGATTTAAAAAAAAAAAAAAAACTGATATATCCACACCATGGAATGCTAGTCAGCATAAAAACGAACAGATTACTATTAACAAGCAGCAACATGAGTAATTCTCAGAAACATTATGCTGAATCAAAGTGTTGCCTCCCCAATGGAGGGTTTGTTGGCTTGGCAGGTATTAAGTCAATAGACAAAGCCAAATCGATTTTAGCAAGGTTTTTTTTTAATTACTTGGCACAAGTAAGGAGCACACTGGGGACAGTTCCCAAAGCAGTATGTCACCAAACAAGAGGGTTGGGCTGGTTTTTAGAAGTGCAGGGTAACGAGGCATGATCTGATTGGATCTTATAAAGAGGCAATACCGCGAGGCATGATCTGACTGAATCCTGCTGCCCTAGAGTAATGCCAGGGCTCCATCTGATTGGACCCTGGATCCAGCCAAGCAGTGTGCACTCCTTAATTCAGTCCCCACTTCTCAATCAAAGAACTTAGGTTCTGCCCCTGGTTGCTAGCTTGGCTCACCTGGGCATGCTCAAGTTGGGGGAATGTCCATAGCAACTGAAAAACAACTCATAACTTTGACACAGAAGAGTCGAGCCAGATTGGTCTGCTGCTGTTACAAAGGGAGCCAGATACAAAGAGGTAATTGTATGATTACATTTGTAGGGAATTTTAGAACAGGAAAAACTAATCTATGGTGACAGAAATCAGATCAATTGTTGGTTTCAGCAGGAGTAGGGTAATAGGGAAGGGATATTTCTAGGGTGATAGGAATGTTTTATATCTTGATGGTGGTGTGAGTTAAATGTATGCATTTTCCCAAACAGATTGAACTGTATGCTTAAGGTTTGTGCATTTCCCTGTAGGTGGATTACACATCAATTTTTAAAAATCTAAAAAAAAAAAAAAAAAGGCATATAGGTTCTTTGAGGACACATTGTCTTCTTGGAGTTTTCACACAGCAGATACTTAATAAGTAAGGCCTCAAATGGTGGCATAACCATCAAGGACTTTAGCAAATCAGCATTATGTAAATTGTTATGATTATCTATATGCTGATCCCTAGAAATTAGAGCATGTGAATGGGCCCACAAAAGGAGGACAGGTTGATTCCAGGTTAGGTTTTTCAAAGAATACTTTGAAGAATTAAATTTAATCATCCCCATCAGCCAAAGCTCATTGTCAATGTGGCACGCATTTATTAGCAGTGATTTATATGCTCTTTAAAGATATCATGTGCCAGCAATTACAACTCAGATATCCAAAGCTCTTTGATAGTCAAATAAGATATTCCTAGGCCTGTTTGAGGGGTGAGAGACATTTAAATAGCTGTGTTAAAAAGATATTCCTTGCTAAACCTGTGAAGATGTCTTATCTTTAATCTAACAAATGGTTTCTCTTTGTCTTCAGCAGGGGCACAAGATGAAGTAAAGGAACAAAGAAATGGAACCAAATGACAATCCTCAGCATTGCAAGGCCTCTCCTGGCCCAGGGGGAGTTCGGGAAGATAGCGCCACGTGGTGTGGAGCAGGGTGGGGGTGGGGGGAAAGCAAGTCCCATGAAAGGACAGGGAATCCTTTGCTCTAATTTCTCTAGCTGCATTTTGTTCTGTTTACCTGCAGAAAAAGAAAGAAAAAATGTTTTCCTTAATTTGGTGGAGGGACCCATGTTAACGCATCTTTCAGGCATTATCCTTGTCATTTCTGTCTTTTCTCTGACAACTTCACTCCAGGGTCCCAGTGGCTCGGTTTAACACTCACACTTGTGCGTCCTTGGCCCCTATCTGCTTTCTTGGTTATTTCACAAAGCTGGTCATACAGTGGTTTCTTCAAAGAAAGAGAAGGAAGACAATTATTTGATAAGCTGCAGGCTAAATTTCAGAAATCACCAAGCCCAACAGCAGTATAATCCACAGACAAAAGAGGCAGAATAGAAAATTAGCAAAAGCCTCAGAAACCACTTGGAAAACATCCGGATGATGATTTGAATATATTTTATTCAGGCATTCCCCCAGGTACACAGTTTGTTCCATGTGGTTAATGAGGAAGATGGAAGCTAAACTGAATCCAGAGCAGAGTGCAGAGGTACAGCAAGGAAGCTGGACTCTGGCGGCCATCAAGGTCTTTTCCTTTATAGCCAGGGTGGCAGGTGCATCGTTCTTTGACATTGACTTTCAGCAGAGCTTCCTTGGTTCATGAGATCTTTGCCATGTGCTTCAGCACGGAGCCCGCTGATGAGAGGCAACTCTGCTACACAACTATAAGGGATGGCACTTTTGCCAGGTGTTTCAGTTATTAGCAAGAGAAGGGGTGTTGTGTTTAGGACCTAAACTTAAGTTTACAAATGGTAAAAGTTTCACTCAAAATCTCTCCTCATATGTTTTTTGCAAAAGAACATCCTGTCTTTTCCCAAGGTTTGATGACCCACTAACCAGAGTCTCGTTTGAAATTAGAGGCAATTAGAGATTTTCTTACAGTTCTGGCTTCCTGGCCTGTGTTTAAATGGTTTGATTTGCTCAGGCCAAGTCCAAGGCTGATTTGATGGCTGGTCCACTCACCCAGAGAACCAACAGTATATGGTCCTGAAGGGGAGCAACACTATTAACAACCTAAGATGCCAGCAATACCATGGGAACAGGGTGACAGCCCAGGGAGGCCAGGCATCATTGCAAATGCCTGTCCCAGAACCAACATAAGGCAAGACACCTGCTTCCCACAGCCTCCCCGCGGTTCCAAGGCCATTCCATCGTTTTTTGTGGGAACTGACATCATTTATTGCATACCTTAAACCCAACTTCTTTATAAGGGCTCTGGGATTACAAGTTATTTATATTGTTTTTCTTATCAGAGGAAGAAAAAGAGTGATTAAATTGAGTAGTAGTTCTAAAACAAAATGAGGTTGTGCTTTCTAAATATTCCATCGAATTCTTCAGTTTTGCCCTTTCTTCTATGGAAAATATACCTTCTTATCTTCCTATGACTTTTGTTTTGACCTTTCTGAATTTTGTTGCCCCTTCTGGATGGCTAATTTGATATATTGAAAAAATTAGCAAGTTATAATTCTGCATATGTAATATGTTTTAACACCCCTTATATTTTTAAGCCACTCGTCGACATGGCAGCAATGGCATCTAAGTGACTTCAAGATGTTGAAACATGGCCATTTCTCCTGCCATTACTCCACAGTTTGATATGGAAGCATATATACCCTCCACTGCCATTAGACATTGCTTTCTAGAAAAGAAAGAGGCTCATTTTAAAGAATCTAAGAAATGATGCCATCCAAATATTGATAGTTTCTACATTCCATGCCATCTTTATAACTCAGTTGAGAGTTGCCATCATTCTTGTGAAGTGCTTGACAAGTGCAATCTGCTAGGCACTCGTTTTTCTTGTGATTCCCAAATGTTAGTGTTACTCAGCCTCAGTAATGAGTTACAGTTGAAAACAACACAAGGGGATGAGAGGAATGGAAGTTTTCTAATGAACAAAGATGAAAGAGACCTAATGTCCCTGCTAGGGACAGCTGGGATTAAAATTATCCCAGTCCTGGCATTCTCCTTATCATCCATGCCAGCCATTTTATTCATTCATTTTAAATGTAGGTGGGGTAGGAACGGGAGGAGGGAGTTTTCTGCCTGAAAACTGTACAAAAAGGAAAGTAATCTTTGCATCCAGGAAATTACGAGAATGAGGAGTAAATATCATCAGACCCACTCCTCAATTTGTTTAAACCTCATTTTATAATTAGATTGTGTTTTCATTTTTGCTTTGTCATGCTTTTTGGTTGTTATTTGGCCATACAATTTTATGCTTTCAAATAAATAATGAAGTTAGTTTCCAATTCAATGGTGAACTATTCAAAATGTAACTATTGGCCAGACCAAAGACACCTCAGCACAGGAAAGCTTTCTCTGTTGGTGCTGTCATTGCACGGGCTGTACAATGGAATAGATTCCAAAAGCTGATTGATTCTCCTGCACGTAAATTCTGGATGTTAATTTCCAACCTTGCTTCAACCAGGCTACTGGCATGAAGGGTTACAGGAGGGAGGGAGGAAAATAGCCCTATGTTAGTCATGTTTGCATACAGAGGATCGAAGGAGGCCTTCAACACAGTAGTTCTAATTAAAAAGGTCCTCACTGTAGGAGAGACAAAGGGCTTTTCCTCTAGCTGGTTAACTATTCAGATGATGGACAAGCCTTCTTTCATAAAAGCTTACAAAGGCGGCATCTGAATCACTGCCTGTGATACTGGGTCACATATTAATCACCGCAGCTAATTGTATATCTTTCTATGAAACACTGAAAAGCCTCTTTGTGAATTAATACAGTTCTGCTTGATGCACTTGATTTGAAAAGACATTTCTCTGTATGTGGCGCATGTCGGCTTTGCTTTGAAAAATAAAGTTAGCAGAATATGTTCAATATATTTTCTTGGGGAATAGGGTTTTTATCATATGATTCATTAAGGATTTGCCTTACCCTGACATTTGTGATATAAAGGAAAATCAGAAAAAAAAGTAATTTTCTTGATCAAGATATGTTTTTACTTAATGCAAATAAATGTAGTCTGTTGCTTGCAAGGAAACAAAAATTGTCTTCTGATATGTGGTATAAACTGCTAAATAGGATAATATGTGCCTCTTTTGTTAAACCAGCATTGAAATGCTGGACTGCTTCTAAATCTCTTTGTTTCTTTTCATCTGTGCCATAACACTAAAAAACTTAAACGACTGTTGCCTTCATACTATATTTGTTAGAGCCGAAATACAAATAAAATTTGTTTGAGAGGATAACATGGAATTTTTGTGAAATTTGTTCTCTAGCCATGAACAGTAATAACTCGAAATGTTCATTTAATACTATTAAGTTGCAAATATGTGTATTTAAAATTGCCCCTGTAAGTCAGTTTTAACTTACTGATATTTTTCCCTTGCTGAGACTGGTCAGTGCTTTGGCTATGCTTTTCAAACTTTAATCTATTGAGTAGTTTATATAGACAGAAATCTCAGGGTCTAAGTTTTACTCTAAATACTAGATAATTAATTACCCTAGCAACAGCCTCTGAGGTCTAAGATATAAGTTGTTGAGATAAAGCCAATGGCTCCATGAACATTGGGGCCTGTTTTTCAGAACCCGTCATTCTTCGTAAACACTTTATGAGTCAGTCATTATGTGGCAGTGACCGCAGCAGCCATGGCCCTCCCTGCTCTTTTGTTGATGGAATTATGACCAAATCACACAGTTATTAAGAACTCAGCAATGGACCAGCAAAAATCAATATGGGGAAAACCCAGTGTTCTTTTGAAAATGGAAATATGCATTCCACCAAATTTAGTTCCCTTCATCTCCTGCAGAAAAGGTGCTATCACTGTTATTGTTCTAGAAGGCGTTAAAGAAAGTCACCCGCTTTATCGAATGAAGCTAGAGATTTAATAGTTTAAGGAGAATTAGTTTTTCAAACTGCAGTACTAGAGAAGCATTTTTCCAGTAGTAAACAAGGTTTGATGAGGACAAATTGTAGACAGGACAGTCTTATGGTACAATGGGCCACCTTAATACAAATGCTTCAGAATGACAGTAAAGACAATTTGACATGATTCCAGCCCTACTAGATGCAGTTTTTCATCTATGTCCAATTTTTCATCTATCTGCCTTTCACTCTTAACGTTTCTTCCCCAACATTTCTGCCCCTGTGCCTCACACCGACCAGAGGTACCATAATGCATGGCTTAACGTCACTCGTGGCTCTCAGGGCTAAGAGGGTAATGACGCCCATCCTGTTTATGTTGTTTTAGCCAAGACTCTGGCCTAGTTCTGAGGTTTCCAGAAATAAGGTACCTCCAATTTCTTGGTTTGGAAAATGGAAATACTAACACATACTTGAACTCTCTTAAAATTTAAACATGAATAAAGTGCTGGGATCCAAGATATTATACTTTGTCATTTGGAAAAGCACTTCATAAATTATTAACATCAGATTCTGCTATTCGATATGATAGGCAAATAGCCCTTTCTCCAGCTCAGGCCTCTTTATGAAAAAAATAAATGATCCTTACAATTAGGTAGTAAATAGAAAATCCTATTTTACTGAAGTCGATTTAAACTTTGCCCCCAAATTAGGGACCCATGAAGATGAGAAAGTTGTTTTGCTATAATTTAGAGAATTAGTGGGGAGCCTGAGTTCTTAGAACACATGTATATGAATACTAACACTCGTGTACATTTTTTAAAGTCATCTTTTCTCTGATAATATCCGTAGTGAGTCTATAAGGAAAAAGGAGGTATAGTTCTCTCTACTTCTCAGTTAATATGTATGGAAGGACATAGATCTACAAGGAGTTAATTATAACAATATGTACTTCCCTTCCCTGGGGGAGGAATATACTTCCTTGCCCTGCTAAAATTGGACATGTCTATATAACTTTACTTTGTTAAATATGTGGGTAAAAATGGCATGTGTCACTTCAGTTAGAAGCATGAAGACTCATGCCTTTTTTCCCTACTCTACTGTAATGATCAGCAACATTCCAAACAGGCTGATCTGTCAGCATAGATCCTAGAGTGAAGATGTGGCAACCTTCATTGAGAAGGTGACATGACTGAGAAATAAACCTGT